ACACTCACCCAGAAAAGTACAGGGCACATTCCGACCTGTAATATACCTATCCTTCATAAGAATTTTTACAATTTTACAATTTAGTTGTTAGCACCAGCTTATTTAAGTTTGCAAGAATAATGACTAAGCCAAGTACAAAAAAAACCTGTAATTAGATGTACATGGGTCAGTGAAGGCTTGCTGCATTTTCTTGAAGTTTGCTTATGTGTTTCTTAAAAGTTTCTATTACTAATGGATAGATAGTTGAAAACTACCAAAATGTTGTCCAAATCCATTTTTCTCCACAATTGTCAACTATAAAAATTAAAGTTACAGTACACTTAGGATTGAAAACCAACTTCTGAAAGTGACAACAACTTGAAAACAAAACTATTTTGAAGTTTCTTCTGCTTCCAGATACACTGCTGGTAAGAAAGACGAGCCCCATGGAGAGCTAGAGTTTTCATGAAAAGCTTGCCACCACCAGCCATAGTCTTGACTCTGGTCATCTGAAGTAGGCTGTGCCCACGAAAGCTCATGATACCATCTACATGTTTTGTTAGTATAAAGTGCTACCAGACCATTTGTTGTTTAAGTTTATCCTGTACAGACTAACTGGGCTACCCCCTGAAGAGTCTTAACTCTGTTATTCCAATTCCCCAAGCTGTGTCTGTGTTCTCTGAGACAGGGACCTCCTGTTTGTTCCATGTTTATATACCACCCATTGTAATGGAATCCTATTCCACAGTTCCTTGGTGCTAAAATAATCTAAAGATAAATAAAAGAGTACTCTATTAACTTGTGGTCAAAACTGATCCAACTGCTGAGACTAGTTAAAAGCACTGCAGTCATAGAGTCTGACAAACTACCAAAACTAAGAAACGGATGAAGACTGCTAGCTCAGTTTGCATAGTCCAGTGGATTAACTGCAGATAGTAGTAACTATCAATGACTTTGGCAGACCAATGACCTAGAGGTAAATGGTCCGACTCATTACCAATCCTCTCAACTTTGCAGTTCCCAGAGCTCAGATTGGGTACACAACTGAAATGACTGTGCTCATTTAGAAATGCTTTTGGTTCTTTTATACATTAATCTCATTTGTAAAGTAAACACTTTGAAAAGTGTCAATTCATAATTCTACCACTGTTTCCTTTAAGAAATAAATTGTGTATATTATGTTTCCATAAGTTAACAGAGCCACTTAATGTTATCACTACACAGCATCAATTTTTTTAGGAAAAGTTCATAACATGTTTCACTCTAGTAATTAAAATGCAATTAAGAAAAAAAATAGAAACATCAAATTTAGCTTTAAATCCCTTTCAACAATACCACCATTCTACTGAAGAGCTTCAGAGAGCCATGTAAGCCTCTTAATTCCCCTCTCTAACCCACTCCTTGAGATCCTGATGTTCTAATGAGATAATAAAAGGCTTGATCTTGAATATTGGAGTACTTGAGTGATTTCACATGACAGAGTGAACTAGGTGGACATGGAATGCTTGTGCTACTGGTGTACATAAAGTTTAGGGTTCTGTTATTTTGAAAGAAAAAAGGCAACAAGCTAAAGAAAGAAAAAAAAAGATACAGAATGACAAAATTGCCTACTGGCAGGTCAAAGATCAAAACTATTCACACAATGACTCAGGAACTCACCTGTCAATTTTAGGATGGCAGAAACTCACCACACATTGTAGTTTATATGATTTTGTCAGCGGGTTCAAGAGCGATGGCTCTCTCTTTGGCTGCCTGCCACTGAACAAAAGCTAATCTTACACCTACAATTTGGACTTTATCTCCTGACTCATTCCAGAAGACAACAGACATCGCCGATGAAAATAAAGAGACATTTCTCTAATAGCCGATGACAGCAACCCTTCGAGTGTAGGATGGCTATTAACACCCAATAGGCACTGTGCTTCAGCACCAACAACTGCAGTGCATCCATTGCTAGCCATGCATGTCACACTAGGAAAATCTGAGTTGAAAGGGTTGAGAATTAAAGACTAAAAAATAAAAAACACACCACACACACACACCCCCACACACACCCAATATCACAAAAAAACAAACACACACACACAACCCTTATAAAATGCCTGTTGGGCACTAAAATTCAATAGCCTAAAGAGTGTAAAGATCTATTCAAAATCATCTCACTTCTGCTATGCACAGCCAACCACTAGTTGAGAACAATTCTATAGTTTTGTTTTTCTTAAAATAAGGCAGCAGTCCTAGGAGAGGCATATGCAATAATGTAATTAAATACTACTGTAATGCATATGCACAGGGGTCAGGGTTAAGGCCATGGAGGCAACCTTAATGTTGCTTTTTCCATGATCTGAATATCACTTGTACTGCATTAAAAGAATGTGTATTTTAGAATGAAATATTTACTTTGTTAAAAGGCTGTTTATACCAACATTCAAGCCTGTATGAATTTATTCCAGTCAATTTGTTATAAACTCCTGAATTAAAGGATAATGAAACTGTTGACACAACACTAACACATAATATCTGTGCAACAAACCAGCTTTTACGTGAGCAGGAAAGCTATAATTACATCACTTTTTATTTAGGTGACGTTTATTTTAACGTTGTGAAGTGCCACTGAAATAGTATAAAAAAATTCATCAGACCAACAACTCTAAAGGGCTTCACACAGAGCGAGGGTAACATCTACACAGGAGACAGGCCTTCAGAACATTAAAGCTTATTCAGTGGAAAGTTTCCCCATCGCTGCATTTTTCTGTAACAAAGATGTTGTCAGAAATGACAATTTTTGTGTCCCCTGATGATGCCTTGCTAGCATTTGGTTATAAGCCATAAAGCAGGAATAATTTCAGCCTGTCAGTAGTCTAGCTAATGCCCAGTTTCCCCCTAGAGAGAATTCCTGTCAAACGTAATGAGAGCTCCAAAGGCCCTCTCTACAACATAATGAGCACTTAGGCCATGCTGGTGATCAGCCAGCAAAAAGCATCAATTTGAGATTGGCTACACCCTAGGGACTAGACGTCACCAGTTTTAATAAGAATTATGATTATTATCTACCAAATGCCTCCCCAGAATATGTATTTGAAGTTTAGAAAGATGTTTTTAAGTTTAAGATGATTCATGCTGAACTGCAACAGTGTTATTTTGCACTTCTGTAGTTTAGGTCTGAATTTGAGGCTTTAAATACTTTTCTGCACTCAAATGGGAGATGGTATATGGAAGACAAGAACCAAGTAAACACTAAAGCTTATTTTCTTGTCAACTTTCATTTTTGGATCACCATGACTTCCCCAGAAATTTATTACTTTCATCTCCTAGATTATGACTAAACAAAACACAGACATTAGGTGCACACACAGGTTATAATACATTCTTTCATTTATTTTAAAAGTTTATGCGCTATACCACCACAGCAAATAAACTTATATCAAATAATTTAAAAGCCTGGTAATATACAGAAGCTAGTTTCAATGTGGAAAGATGAGCTCTCTGAGGCTGCTTGATTTTGTGGACTTGTTACTTTAAAGTAACAATAGAGTAACAACAGAGATTAATATTTTAATGCATTTACACAAACTGCATGCTCTCATCTACTGTTCCATTATTTTAAATCTGTCTGAGATGTTACAAGAACTTCTACTCCTATTATAAATTTGACACTTAACAGAAGAGTTTTACATCTGGATACTATTTTTATCATAATATTTTACCACATCACAGTCCACCATTAAGTTAATTGAACAGATTTTTTTTCCCCCACACTGACCCCAAAACAGTTGCCTGAAGTCAAACTGTCAGTTTCAAATTTTACTTGCAAAAGGGGGAAAAAAAGTTCAGCTTCAGAGCTAATCTGACAGTCACAAATGGTACCTCAAACCTTCTTCCTATAAAAGTCATTGTTACCTTAAAACAAGCTTGTCATATTTCCACAATATAGTCGATACTGTGACTTTGAACCAAATGCATCTCCAATAAAACATCTACATCCACACATCTAACTCCACACTACCAAATTTCATATTTTTCAAGGCATGATAATATTTAAGAAAAAAATATTAGAGTTTAAAGTTACAAAAACAGAATTCAGCTCTGAAATATACTTGCTTAATGAAAGTCTTTGAATATACTGAAGATCTGAAACCTGAACTAATCAATTTATTCGCTGTGCCCTAGCCGGTCAGCCATGCTCTTTAATTTAATGAAACAAGGAGTTTTAGATGAAATAGCACATATACATCAAGAAAGAATTGTATTGTTGCACTTTGAAATGTGTCCAACTGTGCAACTTCATCTAATGATAATTTTTTTAAGAGGCCATCGATTTCTGAAAGACTTATTGTACCAGCATCTTGATGAAAAAGTGAATGTCAGCATATCTACAGAATACTTACACCCTGCCATTAATGCTTTCTTTGGCAGACAATGACTACTCAATTGAGGGTCCTCTGGGCTGAGCAATCATTTAGCTTTTCTTCTCTTATGAGGTCCTTAGTGCCTTGTTCCAGTTCAATACCTCTTTTTATTCACCATTATAGTGGCCATAAGTGTGAATTTTATGGGAACTTGCAAACTCAGTCATAACTAGAATTTTCCAAGTCACTAATCTTTTCATACTTTTAAATTGCTAGATTTTGAACCACTGTCAACATATGCTGCAGATGCATAAGAGACTGATTAGACAGATCCAAGGTTGTACCATCTAGGAATTTCCTCAATTTATTTCCTTATAAACCACATAACTGAAAAGTCTATGTTTACAGAAATGAGCCATTTCCTATATATTTATCCACATACTTCAGACTCAGCACCAACACAGCCCTTCTGTTCTGCAAGCCTTATTTGTCCCATCATTTTATATTAGGCAGGTGAACAACATTTACTAGTCGCAACTATGAATCAATGCACTCTTTCAGACATACTGCATGAATTCAAATATAAATCTAAGAGTTCTGTTTTAGTACCATAAACAAATTATAAGTTGTAAGTATAAATTTAGTACTTATGAACTTAGATGAACATCTTACCTGCTTGTGCATTTCAATGTTTAATCCATAGGACATTTCATAGTACTGCAAATAAAGGGAAGTACAATGTAAAACCAGCATACAATAATAAAATATTTACTGTTATAAACAAAAAGGAAACAAATCTTACACTTACCATCACATAGTGCCGTTGCATTTCTGTCTTTTCACTTGCCAGTTTCTCACATTCCAATTTAAGGCTACAAAAATAAAATAAGACACTTTAATGTAAATGTTTGACACTTGTTTTGACATCTACCTGCCCTATTTGCACTTTATAGGGAAAAGCCTAAAGCTTATGGGTATTTACATCAATTGCTCATTAGACTAGTGTAACAGAAAAAAACTGAATATGAATATTAAGAGTACATAGCATCCTTCAAATCAGATTCATTTTAAATACATACTAAATAAGGCTTTAAATATTAAAACACTATATACTTAGAGTGATTACCAAACATTGCCACAACCCCCAGGACTATTGGATTGCCCGAATTCACTAGTTTAACTCTTAGTGAACTAGAAAGCTCTTTACACTTCACATGTAATGTACCAGAATTTAACAGCAACACCACTGTAGGAAATTCAAGGGCATTTCAATTCTAGACTTTTACTCCAAGAAATCTGATTTTGTACTTCACTATCTTGTCAAAGACTGGAAAAGAGGTTCTCTTTTTTTTTTTTTTTTTTTTAAGTATTATTTAAAATTCGGCGTGCCTTTATTTTTTGTTCTCCTAAGTACATAAAAAGTAAATGGAGAAACTAGTTTCAAATAAGCTGTACCATTTACTACTCCAATATTTCCAATTTAAACAAAATATTAGATAGATTCTTTTTTTAAAGAAGTAGTATTACCAGTCCATATTACAAAAAAAAAAAAAAAAAATAGTAAATCTATCCAAATGGTCATCTTTTGTATATGTAACAGTACACAGTTGATGCACTTTTAAATGCAAGAGTTATCAAAAATAAACACAGGCCTTTGTGAGTTACTATTTAGAAATAAAACCCAGGGACAACAACATGAAGAATGTGTAGTCCAAACTTTAAAAAGATAGAAATATGTACATGGAACTCTCTATTCATCTCTACTCAAACACAGGATACAGCAATACACCAAGGGACACATTCCCTTTTAATGCCAAAAGTACTGTCCATACAATAAGGGGAAATACATCCTTGACATGGGCAGAGACCTCAGCAACATGCACAAGAACTGGCAATATATCAAGAATAGTATAGCAACCATAACTTAGATTACCAAAGCAATGAAATTCACTTATATGTGGTAGCACACTAAAATACTTGCATGCTTTTTTAAAAATCCTTATTTGCTCTTTAAAGTCTTATTTGCATCAAAAAAGTGCAGACATACATAAGCTGAGAACCAGCCTTTTACATTTTCCCCTACAGTTAGAAGGGGATATTCTCTCCCAATACTTTGTAGGCTTTTCACTAAAGAATCCTATCAAAGAGTTAAATTCCACACTCCCATCCTGAGCATTTTAGAGATGGTTCCATATATTAAGTGCCAGAGCTGGGCTTAGAACCTAAACTGGTCCTAAACTCAGACACTCAATTTCACCACTGGACTTCACTGCTTCCCATTGAACTTCTAGTTCTTATTAAAACCTTATTTCAACAGTCCTTAGTACTGGAATGCGGTAACATGAGGACAAAGTCACCCATTGACCTGCTGTTCTGAACACAGCCTATTACAAAATTCCCAAGAGCAAATATTGACAGTTATTGTGAAGCTCTAAAAACACACAGAAAAAGTTCATCTGAACAGCAGCAAAACAAGCTATGAAAACAATGGCAAGTAAAGAAAAGGAGTGAATGACAGGACTTAACTGTGACTCCACACGCCACCATCTGGACACAGACATAAAACACAGCTTCTCCCACCAGCAAAAGTGGAGATAAGAAATACACCCCACTGAACAACACGTTGTGCACCAGCCTGAAATCCTCAAACGCAGTATGTGCCTCAGGCCTGCGGTGCAGGGAGAATTGGGTATGAAAAAAGCATGATGCACCCACCTGTGATACTGAGCTTGGAGGAACTGAAACTCCTCTTTGATCCGATCTAGAGACTCTGGAATAGTGAATTTAAAAGGCTGACCTGCAGCCTGGTGTGGTGTCTAGAAAGGCCAGGAGAGAAGAAAGAAGGCACAAGAAAAGAAAAATGTTTAAACAAAAAACAGTGAGCAAGGCCATAAGATAGGCATGAAAGATAAGCTACTTATCCCACTGTCTTGGCAGGTAGCTTCTTAGGAAGCACCTGCTCCCACCACCATTTGCCACCCTACAACTGGGGCACCTCCAGCAACACATGAACAATTGTGTGTGCTAATGGAAGCGGGGAGAAACTTGGAGATCCAGCTCCTCCTTCCACTTATCACGACTGCCCACTACACCTCCTCCCCCACAAAAAAGAAGTTGGTTTTCACTCCACCCTGGAACACCCCTCAACTCTCCTTACACTTGTCACCACCATCCCAGGAAAACTAGTAGGTTGCTAACCGCTCCCTGCTGTAAAATCAAGTCCTGTGGGGGGGGGGTGGGGGGGTGGAA